TGCACTCACTTCCAGGAATAACTGTGCATGAGGGAGACTGGCACAGAATATGAGTAGGCCTACACTTCCTGAGTGGGAGTTTTTTTTTTTAGTACAAGAGCCTGCACTTAAGGGTAAATCTGCTCTATGTGTTCCTGAATGAATACAAATCGTTTTTGGCTAAAGCCTTGACATTTCTTTTTATTGGTGGTGTCCAAGTAGCGGTGCACAATGCTGTAGCCCTGTTATTTTTGTTCTCATTGTTCTTTATTTAACAGTAAATAGTTTTACTTCAGAAAAAAGTTTTGAGCACTTCCTCTACCACTGTTTATAGACTTTCAACATTTCCACTTAGAGAAAGAGTGTAAAGAAAAGCAAGATGGGGTATGCCTGGGGCCCCTAAAAAAATCATCTGTCACATCTACTCATGATAAGAAACACAGTGAAATACACTAAGTGGAGGTATTAATTTCCAAACGGGCACATTAGTCACTTGCTCTAATCACCGCAATCATTGTTATAAAGTAGAGCATTGATTTAATTAGGGGAGGTATTTTGCTGGTGGTAACGTTATTAGTGTCCTAAGCTCTGATTGCAAACTTACACACCTGGATTTGCAATGGCAGAGTTGTGCTTATCCTGTAGGCTCTCCACTTGAGCTTGTTGACTCCAGGGAAGTGAAAAAGGGCTCGGTTGTAATGTTTGTATATCCAGTATTAACTGCAGTCAATGAACTGCAACACAGGCTCACTGTGGATGACATGCTGCTCGCTCTGCAGAACTCCTCCTTGGTTCCAGAAACAACACCATTCATTCTGAAGTTAAATCACTGATTCTTGAAATGTTTGAGTATTTAAAATGTGGCCTAATATCTCTAATTTCTATCTCTTCACCTGTTGTTGAATGTGACTTTACTGTACCAAACAACAGAGAATCCCTGTTTACATAGAGGTAAATATTCTGAACTCTCTGAAGAGGCCACTCACACACACACACAAAGTGCGAAATTCAGTTGGCATGATCAAGGGTCAGAACTCAGTTGAAACATAAAATTTGGTAATGATTGCTTATTGCAACAAATTAAAAATGTAAAAATTATATTTCACAATGCAAACTTCTAAAAAATCTAAATAAATCACTTGTACATCCTGCAGAGCTGAATTTTTGCAGCACATCCCCATACTGTGATATAAAATATTCGGTAAATGTTCTAAAGCTACTAACTGTGATACTAGTGATGTGTCCCAGACTAAGAATTTACATAGTTGAATTAGATTGGTCAAGTCTTACCTACTGTTCACTGATTGTTGAATTACATTTTTTGTATTGTTTTTTTGGTTTTATAATTTATAATAGGACATGAGCCATCCAGCACAGTTTGTTGTGTGAAAGGGGTGTGTCTGGTGTGGTGCTGTACTGAAACGAAGCCAGGGAATTGACATTACACGTCAGTTGCTTTTCATGGTTGTAAAAAGAACTTTCGACTTCCTCTGAAAGAGAAAGAGAAAAAGAGTGACAGCAGCTGTTTCTACACACCTTCCTCTGCTGATTTTGACAGAGAATTGTTCATACATTCAAAAAACATTTAGTGCTTTGCCAGTGGTATGTGAGTGCTCCAATCAATAAATGTATACCAAAACACTATATATCATGATTTATTGGGAGAAACCAAGCAATTCAATGTAAAATTAGACATTCAGCAGCACCATATTGCCCAAATGTAATGATACTGTTTCATAACCACATTTTACCAACAATTTGATGATTCAGCTGTGAGATTGGCAGTCAAATCAGGCTCCTTAGATTGAATCATTAGATAGTTTACTATTCAGGGTCGCCCCCATATGCTAGTTTATAAAAAGTCCAGTGTTATTGTTGTTTACTGTGTAAACCACTCTATCCACACATCTTGTTTATGTTAACTGTTCAACATGGTAAGACAACACTGTCGTGGACAACCTGGTCTCACTCCGAAGTCATAGAATACCAGCATTTGTGCAGTGACTTTTGGTGTCAGACACCAATGAAAAAAGCTGTCCCATTTACATAGGCATGATACACGGCAGGTTGCTCATGATAACAGCGCCAGGTGGCATCACAGAAACACAGCGGGACAGCGACGTAAGTTAAGGGGGCAAAAGGGAGGGGTGGTGGATGGTTCCAACAGGCACCGACTTTCACCCGGGAGGCTGGTGTTTGCTTCCCATAAGATTGTGAAGCCAAACCTTGTCCTTTTTTCCTAAACCCAACCACATATGTGTTGGCCAAACGTAACCATGCACTTTTGTTGTTGAAGGAAACAAAGTTCAATTTTTACCAACGTAGTGCATTTATTTTGAAAGATACTGTATGCAAACTATACATTTCCTGTAAAAAACGAAGTGTATTTTGACAATAGACAATGCATGTAATGAAATGGCTGAAGTTGGCACAGCATTCCAGAACGTCAACAACCAACGCACCCAGGGTACCTTGCACGTAGTATGTTGACATGGAAAGTCCATGACCAAATGACGATATGTGATGAGGTTGAAGTCAGAATGTTTTGTCATACACCATGGTATGGCACTTTAATGTTGGAGTAAATGAGAGATGTTAGAGTCAGCTGTTGTTGAAGGCCAGCCTGCACCACTGATGCCACCAAGCTTTGTGGGCAATCAGAGCAGCTCCAAGCCACTCATCTTCATCTATTTCTTGGTAGTAGTAGTTCAAACATTTTCAGGAGATTTTTGGCTAACAACATGGATGCACTCCCAGCACTGTGTGAAGAGGAATGATATAATTGGTTGCTTCCTCTTCACAGCAAACAAACTAGGCACTGCAGGCTGTGAATTAGAAGATGTCGAGGGTGTTGGAAACCCTGTTTCTTTTAGTAGAAACCTTTTTTGCATAGTCAGTCACCACCATCATCTTTGCCAGTATTTGACCTGCAGTATAGCCTACAAACACCACGAACACCAAGAACATCTTATATGTTTGGTGTTATAGGTATGTTACAGAATAATTTTACTGATTCACAGCATTAATGAAACTAATTAAATGAAATGACCAAATACTTTGTAAAACAAAACAACAACAACAACAACAACAACATATAATTGTGAGTGTTTTAGTTGGTGGTGACCGTTTTGAAAATGGCTGCCACAGCCAACAGAGTTTGTTTTGGCCCAACATCCAGTTTTGTTCCTATAACACATCTGCCAAATTTGGTGCTTTTATCTATAAAACAACAATTGTTATGATATGTTGAGATATGCTGGCCCACAACAAGTTGTACGGTGAGTATTTTGTAGCGAAAACGCCTAAAATGACATACCCAAATTAAAATGACTGTAGCCTCTGAACTGCTCTGACTACATGCATGCATGAGGTCTTGCCAGAAAGCAAACTCTCTGAAGTTTCTTGTGAAAGTGTTAGAAACACTCTAGGTGATACAGAGACAGACTAATGGGCCTCTGAAGTCAGTAAAAATTTGAAAATTTTGCCTAAAATAAAATAAAAAATGATTTTCAGGATGAATAACTGTCTGTGGCTTCATCTGAGCAGGTAAATGACACTGTGGGACTGTAGGCACACTATCAATGAACATTTGTTTCAAGTTTGAAGAAAATTGCTCCAAGTATGACCATTTTACAGAGTTTTTTCCATGAAAAGATCCAGGCGGAGCTCCAAATGAAAAAAAGATCACTCAGCTTCAAAACAGTACTATCAGTGATCAAACAACACTCAGCCAGCTTCAAACATTGTACCTTATTGAAATCAGGCGTGATTATGATAGCTGATGTTGTTAATGATAGAAACACCATAAATCACCAAATAAAGCCATATGAAACGTGAAAGTTGTGATCCTACTTTCTAGGCGGTATATCTCAGCCAAAAATAGTGGTAGGAGTTAGACTCCTACCTTTTATAAACCAGCTACGTGTCCACTGATGGCTCGGCATGAGATTGCGAGTAATTCTTTCACTTTTCCCCTCGAAAAACGGCATGAATGACTTGTCACCACTCATCGCGATTTTGGACTTCATGTATTTAGGCTGCTCTGGTGCGAAATCCATAAGGAATAAAAGAAAAACGATGCCGGATTCCGGAAGCCGAGAGCTTCCTGAATCCGGTGATACCGAACATCACATGGTTTGATGATGTAGTGCGCCTGTGAGATACCATTTAACAGAGGAGGGAGGGAGCGCGGAAGCCGGCATCCTAACGGAGTTAAAGAGGTTAAAAGCCATGTGTTCTTGGTGGCGCAGTGATTAGGACACTTCACCACTCTCAATTTAGGGATTTGAGAGGTTGTCAGTAAACTACCTGTGCCTGCAGATGCACACAAGGTGTGTGCATCTACATGTTGCTGCACATTTGTTGTAAATCTTTGTGTTTAAAAATTTAACATGCAATATTTTGTGCTACTTTATCAATTTCCAAACTCAAATTGCCAATCTTCAAATGTGCAATATGTGTAAAGTAATACCAATGGTATATATTTACCTCAAGTAAACAGAACATCATTCAATTCATAATTTATCTAGTCAAAACTTCTAGGCATGTTTTTGGGTATTTTTCATGCTTGTACATACACAATGGTGAGCTGATTAGCTCAGTAGTTGTGTGGTAAGGCAGTTGTTTTTAGATGTAAAGGTTCAGAGCTGAAATCCCTTTTTTGTCATCCTGCGCTGGTCTGAACCTTTGCAGATTCCAGAGTAAGTGTTGATTCTTCTCATACGTTTCCACTATTTACACTTAAATTACTGGACATGGGATGCATTCCAGATCATGAACAAAAAAACAAACAAACAAACAAACAAACAAAAAAATCAGATGTCACACGAAACACGTTTCTGAAAGCAGATTTTTATACCTGAATGGAAAATCAGCATATAGTGATGACCACAATGAATTATTATTTTAAAGAAGATCAAGAGGTTTGTTACTTGTCTATTAAAGAAGAAACAAGCATCCAAATGCTTGAAAATCTACTTGGACAGCTATAATTGATTGAACTATCTTTCTGTCACTTCCAGCACCCGTACCCCTCAGAGGAACAGAAAAAACAGCTAGCACAAGACACAGGCCTCACCATCCTTCAAGTGAACAACTGGTAAGTCACTCCAACACCAGATTTAACTGCCCTTACATGTACTCACACATGCACAAAACCATGTGTCTTGGTTTGTGAAATGCATTTTGTTAAAAAAACAAACAAAAAAAAAAGACTTGAGAGTACATATTCTATTCTAACCTCAGTCTGGAGTTACTGAAGACATGGACGTCACATACATACATACTGATTAAGTGTGACTTACTCTGTCTAGCAGTTGAGCTATCTCACACTGTCATAAAAAATTAATGTCCAAATGGATGCTTAAAAATGATAAAAAAAAATATGTGCTTATCATAATTTTAAATCTTGGCTCATGATCATCAAATCAATCCTTTCTTCATTGTCAAAGTAATGCAGGTGTTTGATATCAGTACATTCAGTTACAGATAATCAAAGATACCTTTCGGACAGTACCGAGTCCTAAGTACCTGTGGACATATTGGACAAATATATTTTTAGCTCACATCTTTTTTAAAGTCTGTAATTCCTTAAATTTTTTTTATAGTAGTTTTTTTATAGAGTATATTTTGTTGAGTTTATAAATGTTAAACCCAAAAAAATATTCATCCATTTTTCAATTTCTTGAAGCTGTATCATTCATTTATGTTGAATTGTGTGCTTGCCTGTAAATTTCACATTTTTGAATCAGCTGACCTGCCGTGCACTGACAAAAAGACTTTTTCAATTTATTTCAATGAATTGATTTAAAGCATACTAATTAAACTATCTATTTCCTTGTAACTGGTGCTAAATTACATAGTCATAAATTAAACTGTCCTAGACCATGTCTAGTAGCACTGCCATGTTACATGATAACATTTTAAATAAGAATGCAGGATGGCATTGGCACATCATCAGTATGGGCCAATACTGGCTCTAAAATGAACAATTGGAATTAACTAACTTCTTAAAGGTAGGATCTGGAGGATTTTCAAACAAAACAAAATATAGACATATACAAATGAAATCCTGCTTAATCATCACCTATGGGCTTCTACTCATGTGTGGTGGTGACTCTGTTTGCAGAGCTCCTGCCCTTTAACTGTATTTTGATGTTTTTGTGAGCTCGGACCGCTTCTGGGCGGAGATTTCCTCAGCCAATGAGAGAGCGCAGGTGCCATGCCCGAGCGTGTCCAAGCGTGCACCAGTGCGAGCCTTGCCTGAACCTCTTCTGTGAAGCCTTCTTCGTACCTCCGGGAGAGTTGAGCCTGATAGGAGGGGCCAAATTTGAATGTGTGTTTACAAACAGCAACTGGAAAATCCTCCAAACCCTACCTTTAATTTACACAATGAATGAAAATTACATACATTGAAAAGTATCACATTTCATGACTTTATCTGCTGGTGGGCCATCAAGATAAGAGTGTGCATGCATAATATAATGTCAGTTCCACCACAGAAGAGACTTGATGATCACTTAAATAAGGTAGAGATAAAAAGTTGATATATTGATACCGGTATCAGTTATCGGCCAAAAGAAAGATTAAAACATGCTCCAGACCAGCTGCTTTTGTAGACTGCTTAGCTAGAAACAGCTCCAATCAAAAAATGACACAATATGGATTTAGTTTCAGATGGCACAGTTCTGCATGTCATCATTTTGGGGGCAGCCTGTGAAGGGGTTTAAACTTAGATTAATTAGAATTACATTGCTACGTTGCTCTTATCTTCCTCTCAAATCCTCCTAAGAGTTTGCTTTTAAATGTATCAGGTTTCCAACAGGCCTAATTACACAGCCCCCCACCACTTATCCATGGGCAAGATGACCACAGGCTTAACTCGAAGCTCTATCCAATACAGATGTCAAAGCATGCAAGCTCCCAGCACTGCCTGTTTGATGGATTTAAGGCATGGTGTCAATGGCAAAACATTGGCAAAGCAGTTAACCTCATCATCAGTGCCTAGGGCTACAAGGCTAAACCCAAATCAATACATTTTTTTAAGATAAGGCCCCAGATTATGTCATTAGGAATAAACTAGATTATTAGTGAAATCCGTGGAGACACACAGTGTTCCAGTTCTTCAAAAGCTGCCCAATGAAACTGACAGTTTTTGTTAATGCTGTATACTTCAGATGAAGGAGGGGCATTCTTTACTCTAAATCATGACAAGGAGACCAGTGAGGAACAGGGAAGGGTGGGATGGAACAGATGCAAATCTTAGAAGAACTTTAAAGATTCAAGAAAAAAAAAAAAATCTAATGTGAAACTTCTTTTATTTTTTTAATATTCATCATTATCAGAAGAAGTGGAATCTCTGTTTTTACCAACTCTATCAATTATCCTTATTAACATGCTAACATTTTTATACATTCCAGGAGTCAGGAGTGCTTAACAGTAGCAAGTGATTCATTTCGGTACATAGTAGATGTGTTATAAGATTTTTGTTTTTCCATGAATGTGTTATCTCCACTAAAAATGTACCTTTTTGTATGATAGCTGACATGATATTGTTCTTCCTTTTTCAGGTTTATAAATGCAAGGAGGAGGATAGTCCAACCTATGATTGACCAGTCCAACAGAGCAGGTAACACTGCAGTTCAGTGACTGTTCACTGTACCTAATACTGTAAAACTTCAATTAAAAGCCTAGTTCCAAGTAAACACCCAGTCCCTTTTTCCTAGCCTGGTGTGACTACGCATTTTGACAAATAAAGGCCCTGCCTCAATTAGAAGCCTGGTCTGGTTGTCAAGCAGTTTTGTTTTACTGAAGTTCTTTGGACATATATAACAGGGTTGTTGGCTACCCACTTGAGCTAACATTAGTTAGCTGCTTAGATCATGCATGCAAATACAAATGTTTGAACTTTTGTCAGTATTGAGATGCTACACAGTGTTAGCTTGTTTAGATTCTCCACAGTTCAATCATTCAGTTAATTTTACTGAAACCATGAGCACCAAAAAGACAGTAATTTATTGAGATTTGCTAGCCTTGTAAACAAGAGAGATGAAAAAAAGTGGTGACTCCCTACTTCTGAAGCAATCATAAAGTCAGAATATATGTTCATTCCCTGATTACCTGGTAAGTTATTCATATCTCTTTAGTCTGTAAGGGTCCACTGATGAAAAGAGTCAAAAGGGTTTTTACTAAAATTATTCCAAGTCGTGAGTATTGTCTTGACAGGATAAAGTGGTGTTGTGTCATTATGTCGGGTTGCCGTAACCCTTGAGTGCTGTAAAATGAGAAACTCTCTCTCTCTCTCTCTCTCTCTCTCTCTCTCTCTCTGAAGTGCTGCCTGTCAGACCTAGATCAAATGAATGATTCATAAATTATATGTCATTCAAAGACTTTTTTTTAATATTCATAATCAGTAATATCAGTAATATTCATATTGGTTAAAATAATCAACTTGATTAGTTTTTGAGTATTTCCCATCTTTGCTGAGCAACAGTTTTATATGAAAGGAATTAAAGGCCTGTCCCATAAAGACGCCACCAAATATTTGGCTGTTGAGTTCACTGACTTAAGCAAATAGCCTGGGCTCTTACGTGAAGTTTTACAGTACTTCATTTCATTCAACAAACTGCTCAGGAGAAATTAAATGCAAAGTGTCTTCCTGATATCGCTTGCTAAATCAGCTGCAGCTGCAGAGTGGATAACAGCAGTGAAAAGTGAGAAAGAGTATGTATCAGAAAAGACTATGGGTTGGATGAAGGAGGTGCAGGATGTGGGCATGACTTTGTGTACAGCATCAGAGTGATCAGAGTGGGAACTCTGGGCGGCTCACTCTCACAGTCTTGCTTCTCCTCCTCTCACAGTGAGTCAGGGCACAGCGTACAGTCCAGATGGCCAGCCAATGGGAGGTTTTGTTCTTGATGGGCAGCAGCACATGGGTCTCCGACCTGGAGGTGAGCAATCACCCACACAATTATCAGATCATCAAGGGCAACATTTCAATAATTGTTTTCTGCCTGTAGTCAGCTGACTTTCAAACAATTGATTAAATTAGGGAAGAGCTCAATGTTTCTTGAAGTGCTCCTCTATGTGCATACACAATCCATGTAGGTTTCATCTATTTTTACATATATCTGTATCTTTCTGGTAGCACCATTTCCATGACCATCATAGCATCACCTAAAGGCAACAGCCTGTGGTTGGTCTTTTTAAATGTTAATCACTTTGAAATAAAAGTTTTATGCTTATAATGATGACAGTTATACACTGCATGATGTATGTTTGGTGCCAATGCAGGAAGTAGTGTGTCCTTTATGTGGCAGATATGTTTATACCACATTTAACTTTGTAGTAAAGGCATTTTTATCTTTCTGTTAGCATCAATGCTGAATCTTACTTACAACTTCGCTGGCCAGCAGCTGTAGAGAATAATGTTCTCTGTGAAACCTCAGAGTTCTACCATATTCTGAGTGGTCTGTCATCTTGTTGCTCTTGTTTGTACATTTTCCAGGACCAATGGGTGGCATGGGTATGAACATGGGCATGGATGGGCAGTGGCACTACATGTAAATCCTCTCCACTGAGGCAAGCCTAAAAGACAGGGTGAAGTAAGTAATCCAGTCTCTGTCTGTCTTCATTTGTAACAAATAACCAATTCCCCCATTCACTGCCCCTTCCTTAACAATCTAATCTAGACTTGAAAAATGACTTTGTGACCTGGATGTTTGCTGTCATGACTTTCGTGAATATAGATTCACAGCAGTCCTTTCACAACATCAGTGTTTGCTTTTGTCTTCCTGGTTCAATTTTAAGGCAATATGGTACATTGTTATTTAAAATTTGGTTCTTAAGGGAAACCTTATGATAATTACAGCTTGTTTTCTTTATTTTTACCCTATTTTTATCGGTAATAATAACAGCTTAGAATAATAAAGATAGTCTATAGATTTTTGGAGCAGCTGATTTTATTAACTTTGTTTGTAACCATGTCATATTTGTCCCGCATCTCTTCAGTTAACTTGGTGAGTGCAACACAGGGCCAAAGTCACCACTGCTAAAACAAACCTATAGAATCTACTCAGTAAATATGAGGTTACAATTTGCACTCAGTTTGTTTGAGTACATTTAGGGCCCATCCCAATAACCCCCGCCCCCCCAGCCCTACCCCTTGGCCCTACTCCTAGATTTGCGCGTTCCACGAGGGGTAGGGGTGTTCCAATTCCTTTTTGCGTGTAAGGGTAGGGGGCATAACGAGGGGTAGTGGGTATGAAACTAGCCCTTTGGAGTGAAGGATTTCAGATGCTGACTTGCCAGTGAGGGGTAGATGTCGCCATGGCTACCAACGAGCAAGAGACGGGGAAAAAAGTTCATACATGTACGTATAATAGACATGGAACTTTTGTAAAAATGTTTTCGAATAACTGTGTGTTTGTGTAGAGAACGGTATAACAATTTTTTATTGCTATTCATGATGTCTAGATTGGAGTTGACAGAAAGCTTGCCAGCTAGCTAACGTTACTGTCTTCAGGTTGCTTGTTAGCTAGCTAGCTAGCTTGCACTATCTGGCGTCTGCCATCTGTCCTGTTCTGCAAAATTGTCGGATTTTTCACATTACAGTAACACGCCAGCTAGGATAACTATGCTGCCTCTTAATGTTAGCTGGTTAGCTAGCTAGCTAGCTAGCAGAAGTCCCCTGTTGTACATATCATTTCATCATCTGTCGTTCATCAAATGAAGCATGATGAATACAGCAAACGCGATTGCTAGGATGAACTCAAATGGAGACTCCATTGTAGATGCCGGTTGGAAATGTAGAACGCTCACGGCTTCCTGTTTAAAATAGTTACGTATGCATGAACATAACTGACGTGGTGACGTAGTGAGTGGTGTCCCAATTCCTAGGGAAAGATTTCAATCCCTACCCCTCGTTACTTCATTTTGAGGGCCAAGGGGTAGTGGGCCAGGGCTAGGGGTAGGGCCAAGGGCTAAGGGGTAGTGGACAAGGGGGGTATTGGGATTGGGCCTTAATCTCATGTCTTGAGTAAAGAGTACCTAAATTTAACAGCTATGACACACTAAAACTTATTAGGTAAATACAACCAAATATTTTTAATACCTCATACAACTGATAGCTTATACAAAGTGAGTAATATTGGCTCCTGATTGTAAGCAGACAATTATTTATCTACGTATTAATATGACTAACCAGGTAATTTAATTTAATGAATTCAGGGAAGGTTAGCCTGACTTGAAAAATTGTCATACACAGGAGGCAACACTCAATTCATATTTATTTTCAGTAACTGCTTATCCTGTTCAGAGTTGCAGGGGGGCTGGAGCCTATCTTAGCTCACATTGTGCGAGAACATGGGTGAGAGGCACGCTGACATGGGCTGGTCATGCCAGTGGGTTTGAACCGAGAATCCTCTTGCTGTGAGGTGACTGTGCTAACCACTGCACATCTTGCTGCCTGGAGACTATACTGATCATGTCAGCTTTGGTAATTGACTAATTGACCACACCATGCTCAAATGATAACCCCTGGCAAACAGAGAACCAGGAGAAGTATGCAGTGTTTGAGTGCAGCTCAACACTCTCTACTCCCACGAATGAAACTGACTTTAGCCTGCAGTGCAGAGCATAATACAATATCGTAGAGTGTATTTTTTTATATATAAAAAATATATAATTTATATATATATATTTATGTTGCAGTTGTTACTGTTAACAAAGAGGTAGAGTATGTATAATTTACTGATAATTAATTATTTCACTTACTGAATAACATATGTAATTAAAATTTAAATGATATGCATGTGTTTTATTTACCACCCTCCAAAATCCAGTTTTTTAGTTCACCACAGAGGGGGTTTCGTCTGGGAATTTGGAAGCTTTTAGTAAGCTGGGGAAGTTCTACAGTTGAAAATTACACATATTGTGTTTTTAACTGAGATTCCAACGTGGTAAGGTTTAGGAAAAAAGAACAGGGTTTGGCTTTAGAATTGGAAAGGATGCGAACACCGTTCACTTGGGTGAAAGTCAGTGTTTGTTGGACCCATCCACCACCCCTCCTGCCCGCCCCACATGGACTTTGACAGCCTTAACTTTCATCCTTGTCCCGCCGTGTTTCCCCCTGATGCCGCCGGGCACCTATCATGCCAACGTTTAAGAATGCCATTTTTCGTTCTGATGCTGCAAGTCACTGCCCATGCGCCAGATTTCAACAATTTTGGAGTGAGACCGGGCTCTGTTATTATGAGTGATAGAAATGATAAACATAACTAAGAAAATGAAACCCAATTTGTAATCATTTTCCTTTCATATGGGTAAGACACTGTCTGAGAGAAGACATGCTAAAGCACCACTGTAGTGTTGTGAGTAATGCTCAGGGCGAGAGGACACTTTGTTTTGAGAAAACACATGCTTTTAGCATATGGGATAGAGCTAAGATTGTGCCACCTGGTCCATAGACCGGTTCTGAAGTCAGCTGTGTGCATCTTTGACTTTGGAGAGGAAAAAAAAGAATAAAAAAGAAAAATATCAAAATGACTGTGTGTGAAGGACATTCCTCCCTGTCTCTACATCACTTCCTCTTTCCCTCTCCATCGCTCTGTCCTCCTCTTCCTCCATTTTTATTTTCCTCCATCTCCTCTCCCCTGGCAATCTGATTAAGAATCAGGGTACTATTCCCCCTCCCCCACCTTCTCCTCCTCCTCCAGCCTCTATCAGCTCCCCAGCACTGCTGACAGTTCTCAAATCAAGACATATCGCCTGCCGGAGGCACCCGAGCACAGAGAATTTTATTTAACACCCACTCTCCACTGCTCAATGAGCCACGCTGTAATGACACTTACCTTGATTAATAGAGCTCTTTATATGTAAATAGGAGCTGCATTTGCTTCATTTTTTTCACTGAGGCCAATTTTCCCTCTTCCCTGTCTGGTAATTCCCCTGGTTTTGCTAATGAAGTTTAAAGAGCAGATTGTGACGCTTCATCTAAAAAAATAAATAAAATACATATCTAGATCTGCATAGAGACATCAGGCTCTCAACCTGAAGAAACGCTGCCTTCATATTTTTGGAGAGTATTCAATCAAATTATTTCTCACTGAATGATCATTGACTAGTTTCAGTAATAGCTCAGTAGAGCCGGATGTTTTTTCTTCCCCTAATTTGATCTGTGGCAAGAGCGTATGCTGACTGCGGCAGTAAATCTCCTCAGGACTGCAGGAAGAAAGAGAGCCATGTTTGGAGTAATATGAGGGTTTTCCATGCACGATAAAGCCCGAGACATAACATTTAACCATTATGGAATACATGACTGAATCTGCACTATTTTACTCTGCTGCACAATATAGCTGACTCCACCATATGCTTTATGAAATACTGCACACATCAGTTCATTTAAGATGCAATATGATGCAAAAAGGATTAAGACCAAAATAATTTTTTAAGATGAAAAAATGAGAATTGAGACAGTCAGAATTTTGAAGAAAATGTAGAATTGACACACTGGTTTGACAAAAAAAAATAAATCTTAATTTACCGTTCACCCTCTAGCAGTTACAATTCTTTTGTGAAACTGAGAGCCCACACATTTTAACATTTAAGTATATTTATATCAACATCTAACCAATAAAGAGCTCAAAAGAAACATCACCCACCTTGCTCATAAAAACAATTCAACATTAAAATCATGATGAAAACAGTCCCACAGAAGAGGTTCACTTTATCTGCTTCCCTCTTTCAAAATGAAGGTAAAACGTGTTGTCAGGTAACTTAGAATTTCACGGTTAAGCCCTTGATAGAATATTCTCTAATAATGAGCTCTTGAAGGCAGTGATCATATTAAAGGAAATGGTTCATTTTTACAGAACACCTCATGACATTCACGACATGCTTACTGTCCCCTCTTTTTTTAAAAGTGAACAGAACTAATTCCACAAACACAGACATTTTAATGAACCCAGGCTGCGTGCACCTGTTGAATACAGCTTCAGCAGGACACACCATCATAGGCAACACACAAACACTCCAATAAAGACAAAAGAACGGAAGAAAAAGTGCCAGTTACATCGGAATCTACCAATTCTCCCCCTTGCCAGTACAAATTTTGTCAGACATTCTCTGTCATAGGGCCAGAGAGGAGCCCCAGACTTGTTTGAAAATATCTTCTCTCCTCTTTTCTCTGTATGTAATTTGTTTAAACCCTTTCTGTCACCAGCTCAATCCATTCCTTAAAACTAGAAAAGTGCACTCAGTAGAGTGCAGATCTCTGCCAGGCCGCCACCCCGGCTGATCATGGCTGCTCTAGACAATTCTGGTAATTCCATCAGACTTGCCTCAGCGTGTTTCAGAAGGCTTCCAAAGGCTAATAAAAATGTACATCTTGTCTATTTGTGAGGGAACCCTGGTGTGTTATGCAGAGCAGATCAATTTGTCCTGCTAACAGGTACTGTATGTGAAATATAGATGCAATATAATTATGAGGATGAATGTATTTTTTAATGACTAAACACAGCCACAACTCTTTGCCCCATGTTGTTACCTGAAGGCTGTAGGCTACAGCACAACAAAGTAAGAAACAACAATAAACTCAATTAAAACAGACAAAAAAACCCCAAACCATCTATCTCCACAGCCTGCCTACTGATGGTGGAGGCAAAAATATCACTAGCTACCAGTTTGTTATGATGCTGTATGGCAGACAGAACAAATTCAGGTCACACAGCTGCAACTGGTGAAATTGTCCCTCCAGGCTCCATTACAGATGGCAGAAAAGATAACAAAAATGATGACAAATTCATCTTGTATCATACCTAATTAATGTGTAGACTATCTAGTAGAAAATGAAATGAAACTTTTCTATGAATCTCAGTTTCTGAGTCATGATGAAGGCCAAAATTTGAGGGTACTTACAGGAACTCCTTTTTTTCTCACAGAAAAACAGCTTGTGTACTAGGGTAGGGTACCAGTTTCTTTCTCACATCTCCAGCAGGTGTCACTGTTCTGTAGTTAAGTCTAGCTAATTTTCTCTGGGTCCAATAGTGGTCTGGTAGCTTCTATTTAGCAGTTTAGCTTCACATGAACGACTGTGCTAAGAGACGACAAACTTTGTCCAGATGTCTTCTCCAGTATTGTTCACCTGCATCTTTTTCCCAGCTTAGTCTCAAACCTTCTAATCAGAGAACTTGTACAACTTAAAATCTTGGAACTTGGAAGCTTCACTTTTTTATGTTAACTCCTGGATCCTAATTAGAGGACCAGATTTTTTTTCCATTCACTAATTTGTGCATGGAAATACTATGTGCAGAAAATAAGCAAAAAAATTACAGTCAGATTCATGAGGCCTGCGCACCGGCCAATTTTTGTTCATACCAACATGCACGTTGGTGAATCTGAAGCATTTGAAGTTGATAGGCACGTTCCTGCTATTTGTATTCAGCATACTCTCACACCTTGATAAGCCTTTATTCACTGTCTTCAAACCTGTTATGTCAGTCTCTGAAGATGTGCTCTCTCCTGAAGACACAGGCTGCCTCCAGCAAGGCTTCATATGCCATCTTAGCACCTGCTTGGAGGTAAATCAGAATCTTTTATATACCTTGCATATATGCACAACTAGAAATAAGTGGGAGTAGCTGATCATTATAGACTAAGTAAATAAAAACAAGAAAAAACAAAACTGTTACATTTCAATATCAATATTCTTATAAAGTCACTCTAAGCTGGGACTGGGACAGTTTTTATTGTTGAATATTTTAATTATGCGATTAACTGTGGAAGGGTGTCAGTTTCATTGTTTGTTTGCTTTTAATACATTTGGCCAATGAATTAGTAAATTAATATTGCTGAAAATTAATGTAAATTAATGTCATTGTCTATTAAATCCATTTGTAATGAATGCAGTTTTAGTGGGCCTATGTTATGCATTTAGTTCAAAGGTGTTTTACATTTTGTAAGAGAGCCGGGCCTTCATCATTTGTGCCTACGTATGGTCTAAGGTAGTTCTAAACTTATTCGCAGAGTACGAACAAATTCAGTTAGGAAAATCTTGATGTTTTCCAGATTTTTACATAAAAAATTCATATGCATAGTTTGAGCACAAATTTGAATTTTATGTCAGTTTAACATAACTTTTTTGAGCATTAATTCTGTGTCATATGAACATAAAAAAATGACTACACATTTTTACAACATTTTTTTAAATTCCATTGAACTTAAAAAAAATATGTCAAGTGCACAATGATAATGTTTTAATTGGCCTTAAACTAATTAGGCTAAATCAGCATGATACATTTTTGTCAAATTAACTCAAAACTAAAAAACAAAAAAAATTGTTGACTTGAAAAACATCATGTCAAGCTCACAAGGAATGAGTTAAGTAAACATACATTTTCTATGTTGTTTTGACAATCTGGGACATTTGTGTAGGCTCTACATTAAAATTTTGTGTCATGAATGGATTGGGGTTCACAGTGAAGTTAGACTTCTGAAGTATGAAGTCAGAATTAATAGGTGGGATCCTGCCCCATGACTTATATTAACAACATGACAGACTTACACATTTTGAACAGAAATATAGTCCTAAATTATCTGTCCCATCTAAAAGGGCCAAAGACTCAAAGTTGCTTACTGAAGAGTTGCTGTTCATACTGTTATTATTGATGGATTTCTATTAAGTGAGAGAAAGCTGCTAATAATGTAAACTGTGGGATTTGGGAGAGGTGGATTTGACTCCCATTTTCTTCTGGCATTGACAAAATATGATGGCTGATAAGTGTTTGTGAAATGGTCTGACAAGACTATGCACACTATCAAAGATGTTCATTTTGATGTTTAACCAGAAAACCCAGAATAAAAGGGAAACGTGGACATTAATAAGTGTTTAATCAGATGTCTCTCAACTTGTGTTCCCCAGAGAGGAGGTCAGGATAGTCTGAAATGTCTCTAGGTGTAGACTTTAATCTTTTTTTCAGGTGAATACATAGATCATTGTTATATGTATGGCCTTTGAATTTATTTCAGTAAAACAAAGAAAAAAGTAACTTTTTGTTTGAACTTGGTACAACTCATATACAAATATACTGAGTTTGTCATTTTCAATTATGCAGCCCTTGTGCTTTATCAACTGTCTCTGGACTTTGTGGGAGATATTGCCTTGTTGTCGAAATGTGCTATAAAAATAAAATTAAAAAAATTAGAATTTCCTTTTTTTGGATCATTTTTGGTAGTGCTGTTTTTACTGTTTGAAATGTACTGTGTGTGTGTTGTGGTTTGTGTTCATGTGTAAGACCAGGCAATTATAGTTGTATTGCATGACACAGTATTCATGTCTATAGTAAAAAAGAATGGGATTTTGTATTTTTCTATTTTTTTTTTTTTTTTCTTTTAAAAAGGTAACAATTTGCATGCATCGTTTTAAGCAATTCCAACTCTGGCCTTAAGTATTTTATAATCTGACAAGCCCAATTATTTTAGTACAACCAATATTATTTGCTCTGAGCTTAAGAATTTTATTGAGTTTAACCAACACAATTTATCCAAAAGCTGTGGTGATACTTAGTGGTCAGATTATTTTATTATATTGTAGGTTATTTAAATTCCATGCAAAATGTCAAAAATGTTATTGCTTGGTGTTATTGATTTTGCTGAGAAACTTCTCTATTTTAACTATTATCCACTAACCCCATGAATATTTTTTTTAGAAAGCCTTTTCAGTCTTTGGACTTCTGTGTCCTAACCCTCTGTTCCCTTTCCTCTGTCTGTGTGTCCAGGCCTCCATGGTTGGCTCAGGGATCTTCTCCCATCTGTCTGTGGAGCTCAGTACCAGAGCTGCCTCTGCAGCTGCCACGTCGAACCCACCTGACCGTACACCACTTGACCACTCCCACCTCACCTCACCTTGCCCGAGCCCCACGGTGCGCGCATGTAGAGGATCACCATGGAAACGCCAATGCTCTGCACCAGAGGCCGCCCACAAACTTTTGACTTGAAAGTGAGCAGAGACTCGGAGCTTAACTGGCTGCACAGAGAATAAAATGACTTAAAGGACTTCATAGTGAAGAGAAGCAGTTTGACACATCTGCTCCATTTCCTTTTAAATTATTTATTTATTTTTCTACAATGGCGGACCACAGGGAAGATCACTTCATCCTCTCTTTCTTATTTGACCTCTTAGCTTTACCCCCAACCCTTAATGCCCATCCTCCTCCAATAAATTATACAAAGACACACGCACACACACACACACACACACACACACACACACACTTTTCTCCTTTAAAGAACAAAAGAAAAAAACACTGTGAATATCTTTTTTTGATTTAAATATGAGGACTCGGTGAGCGTTGTAATTGTTGTGCTGTATAGATTAGTGCTTTTTTATTTAGCTGGTTCTCTCCATGTTTGCGCTTGTGATCACTAGATGTCAGAGTGAGCTTCACTGACATGTTTTTTTTAACCCCAACTTTAACCGAGTGTTTGTTTCTGTTCTCCATGCACTGCACCTCTTTCTTCTGCTTTCCTCTTCCTGTTCTTCTAAACTGGAGCTACAAAGACTCCTGGGGGAATCTGACCTGATGGCGAATTGAGTTCCATTTTTTGACAATGTTTTGAATAGTTTTTAGCACCAAAACACAGAGAAGAAGTCTGCACTAAAACCAAAATAAAAATGCATTAAGGAAGACGAAACAAGGATTCATCACAGTGTTTGAAAGTGCAGAGCAGGTCGGCCTCATTATTTTCCTGCTGGCTCACTTTTTAAAACTCCCAACCAGAAAGCTCAGCGTTAAAAAAAAACAAAAACAAAAACAAGGCAACGACATTTGTTGGTGGAGCAGGTCACGTAGACGGCTCTGGTTCGATATGAGATGGGATTGCAGTTGTCTCACGTTATTCGATTGATGGTGACAGGAATGATGGATGGCCTGGTTACAAAGTTCAAGAAAATGAGAGCGAAGTCGGAGGCTGCGGCAGCTTTTCCTCCATGTTGTTGTTTCCGTGTGGTTCGTTGTGCTGCTGTGTGCGTGTGTCTGTGACGGCGACAGAAAAAAAGATGTAGAGAAATGAAAAATGAAAGGTGAGTCCTGTTTCCTTAGAATGGAATAAATCCCTTCGTTTTCAATCAAACGCTGATGATTTTTTGATATTTACTTTCGGCTCCCGATGTTTTCCAGGACAGACTGCCTTCTGCATCACATGAGAAAATGAGTAAATACAGAAACTAGGAAGAATAAATAAATAAAGGCACATTTATCATTGTCAGCCTGTAACGATCCTCTGCGCTTTGTATTGACGAGGGAAGCAGCAGCCGGAGCGGACTGTCGTAGAGCTGCAGAGGGCCGAATGCGCCCTCATCATCGTCACTGATAAATATTCATTTTAATCGACAACAATCACGCGCCGCATATACATTCCAGTCCGGAGGATTTCGTTTTTTAGCTTTAGGTCTACTGTCTAAATTATTTTTAATTTAATTTAATTTATTTATTTTAATAAGAATTATTATTTTACTGGTCATCATATTTGGTTGAATCCGACTTTTTTAAATGATTGAAATTTGTCAAATTTCAGAATATTCTTCAAACATATTTACCTTTTAAATTGTCACATAGAGGAAGTAATCACTTACTGCGCTAATCAGACTTAAGCAAATCATGTTTGGGTCCAGGTGAGTGTGAGCTGCGGGCCTCTTCGCGGGTCTTTATCAAATCATTTCCACTTTTTCTCGTTAGGTGTAAAATATAAAAACGAAATATTTTTCTCCTACCAATATTCCTATGTGAAAAAAAAACGAAGCAAATAACGCAGTAAAACACAGCGGAATACTGAGCACTGAATTAAACCAAAGGAACATTTATTGAAGGCTTATACTGCGTGTATACAATAGGTCTGTTTTAAATGCTTTTCCAGTTCATGGACCTCTTTCTATCATATTTTCCACGGATAAAAATAATCACTAAAACTGTATCCATTAATGCATCCATTATTTTGAAAATAACCTCCATTTTCCTCTCTGCAAACAAATAGTAGAATATAATCCGGCTGATGTGAGGAAGATGAAAATAAAGAGCAATACAAAGCGGAATGGTATTCTCTCATTTCTCTGGGAGCGCATAAGAGCGCCGCTCGAACAGGCCTAATTCATTCAGCCCTGCCGACTGTGCTGAGGATAAATGCGTTTTGAAGGCTGCCGGAAACAAGCGCCTATCCGTTTGAAATATGGGTCAGAGCTCCGACAGAAAGCTGCATCATAATGATGCACAAATTCTGCCGTTAACACAGAGTCCCTCCTAACATTAGCAGGGCGTTCAAGCTATCAGAGAATATAACCTAGCATTTCAAATTTCATAAAGCAGTGCAGGAATATAACAGAAAACTGTAGGGCACAAAATATCAAATACATTTGACTTTACATTTATACTTTGTGATTTGCAGGAATATTGTACTTCACTTCATGATCATCACACACTCTCAAAATTTCATATTGTAGAAATATTGTAGAGATAAAGAAACAGTTCCTCCAACATCATTTTACTCACTGGAGAGGAGGCTTTGAAGCTGAATTTAGGCCGGGGTTACATCTCAGAAAATAATTTCACAGGAACTACAAGTGAAGTTTAAAAAAACTGGTGGCATCCAGGTGGCACTGCCTCTGTTATTTCAGTGGTGGCATGGCAGTCTCCTCTTTCCGCTATTGACAATGCAGAGCTCGGAGCTGAAGCTGAAATATTGAGATAAATGGTGGCTTAATTCCATTTTGCTGCTTCAGTTTCGGGCTCCTGATATTGCTCATACTTGCTCACTATCTTACTGGGACATCTGAGCAGCCATTGTTCATGTTGTTAGCAACACGTAATACGTCATTTTGTCTGCTGGGAAAAAGCCAGACACTCAACATGCTCTCAAACAGACATCATGGATAGATAAAGTGGTAAGGTACCATTATGCAAAATAAGCATGCTACATTATACATTGCTACTGACTATTTTCCAAAAAAAAAAAAAAAAAAAAAAAGTCATGACAGAGATGGGTTTTCATTTTTGAGGGCAAATAGCCTAGAGTAACTGGCATCATTGAATGTGAGTTCTTCTTTGAATACAGGTGTAGTTCCGAGTTGGCACTATGAATCATTCACAAGGAAGTGTATTTTGAAAACACAACGTATGTAACAGGCTGCCATCTCAGAATGTAAACAACCAACACACCCAGGGTACCTTGCACGTCATATGTCAACTTGGAAAGACCAAATGTTTATTTGTAATGTGGTTGGAGTGAGAATGTGTTGCAAATATGTGTAGAGGAGTAAAGCGTTCGATATTCGCCTCAGAAATATAGTGAAGAAGAAGAATACAGTAACACAAAATGAAAAAACCCAAGTACCTCAAAACTTGAGTTCAGTACTTGAGTAAATGGTTACACAGCCGCTGTCCCATATTTCCTGCTGACATCACCCACTTCCATTACCTAATACATGCTGTGTATATGCCTCTTGTTCTCTGGGTCACTCTTCTTTCTGTTTTATTTGTCCATCTGTCTGCCCTTGCAGACCTCCAGAGATCTAAATCTAAATCATGTCATGACAAACTGCCTCGGTCAGTGAAAAACAATGTATTCGCCTTGTTTTGAGCAGAGATTGAAATCTGCTCACCATCTATTTCCCTCCTGCACTAATGGCAGTAATTGTTTAAGTGGAAAGTGTTCAGTTACATGAGCTCCCCCTGATCACTTCACTATGCATTTAGTGGCAGGTAGAAGGAATGGGGGTAATGTCTGCAGACATAGCGTGACCAAAGCTCTGGATCAGCCCTGTCAAACACAGTTAAAAATATGTACTGTATATCCTCTCCCTGTGAATCACAGGTCACTCTTTGAGCCCCCCAAGTGGATGGACGTTTACTCCCTGGAAGGGTGGTTGGCTGAGCGCACTTGCTGTTTAAATCTTAAGGAAAATCAGGTGTGGATAGAGGCCTTCATGTCAGCTTTATTTGGACCAATATATACAGGAAGTCAAAGGTCAGAGTTCAGAAAGTGGCCAAGATGGCAGTGTCTAGGCTTCTTAGGAGGCTGATGGCCATGTGTGATGTGTCGGTTTTCTCAATACACCCTGTCATCATCTTTAAAAATCTGGTGGCATTAAGGCAGAGTACTGCATTATATCAAATGGTGACCTCAACAAGGAAACAGTTGTCTCTTTCAGTGGAAATATGTACACAGCACTACAGACAGTTTATAAGACACTAATATGATCCAGACGACTACTAATGTGTATTCACAGATAACTTTTACTGACATACCAGCTGTGGAAACTTCAGTATGATTATTTCTTTTAATGTTTTGTTTTCTTTTTTTGTTCTTCCTCTTCTCATCTTCTTCCTCTCTTCCTTTTTCCCTTCCTCCTCTTCTTCTTCTGCTTCCTCTACTCTTCCTCCGCCTTTTGTTGTTGTTGTTCTTCTTCTTCTTCAACTCCTCTTCCTCTTCTTCTATCCCTTCTTATTCTTATTCTCTTCCTTTTCACCTCCTCTTTTCCTTCCTCTTCATTCATCTTCCTCCTCCTCCTCCTCTTCTTCTTCTCCTTCTTCTTTTCTCCCCTTTGTCTTCCTTTTCCTCTTCTTCTCTTTCTCATCATCTTCCTCTTATGCCTTTCCTCTTCCTCTTATGCCTCTTATCTTCTTCTCTTCTTATTCTCCTCTTCTTCTTCTTCCTTTTTCCTCTTCTTCTCTTTCTCATCATCTTCCTCTCATCCCTCCTATTAGTGGTTCCAAATGCAGTTTTTCTGCTTCATTTTCTTTTTCCAGATGGCATCGTGGAGTAGATGGTGCCATGGGTGGCAGCCTCAGGGTTGCGCTAATGCTGTGGAATCCTGCAGGTTTCCCGGATTCACAGTTTTCCAGGACTTCATGTGCATGTCCGACATAAAAAAAAGCCAAGCTAAGGATATACTTTCTGAGCCAGTTCAGAAAGTTCAGCCTGCCTCAGGAGCTGCTAATTAATGATCCAGTCTGTTCTCCACACATCCATCACTGTGTGGTTTAGATCAACACCAAACAGGACAGGGACAGTCTTTAATGGACAGCTAGGACTGCAGACAGAATCATTGGTGCCAGTCGGCCCTCAATCCAGGACTTTAACACCTTCAGAATAGGAAACAGGCAGGTAACATCATGGCAGACAGTCGCATCCTGGACACACCTGTTCCTTTTCCCCTTTCCTTAACAACTAAACATTATTATTCTCAAACCTTTTAATGTTAGATGGCCAAGACAGTGCTAAAGGTACAACGAGGGGCAAAGAAGAAACATGAAATTAGAGGAAGTTTGCTTCTTTTTTGCTAATTGTCTTGCTACAGTCCAGGAGAAGTTTCTCATATCAGAGGACCAATACTGAAAGTCACAGATGACGAGGGTGTAGAAATGGATGAGGATGTCTTTCCAGAACGTGCAGCCAAAGAAATCTGTTTTGTCATCTACACTCATGATGGTAGGGCATTAAATCCTTTCTGTGTTTGCAGAGAAAAATTGTGGGATTTGCATCTTAACTCTAAGACATAACATAACATAAAACATAAGAGGCTTTATTGTTATTGAAAAAAATACAACGGAACTTCATTGGTGACAGTCAGTCCAGCAGCAATAAGGAAGATAAAAGGATAAAAAATTAGAACTATAATAAAAAATCAGAACTATAATAAACAACTAGAACTATAGCTAAGATTATAAAACAATGTAAAAAACAGTGAGGATGAACTAGAACTATACAGATGCAGCCACTTCAAATTTCCCACGCTAGCCGGAAGCCAGCCAACTGCCAGCCAACTCCCAGCCAAACAAAATGACCACCTTTATCTGCTGCAGCATCAGTGTTATAAACACATTAGTTATTAAGGAAAACCTAAAATGTTAGTATTGGCCCAGGTCTCCAAAAATATTGACTTAGTTTCTCAGAGTAATGAGAAACGTTCTGAAAATAACTTAGTGCCTAAAAATAATTACTCAAATCATTTCGAAAAAGTTGCTCATTAAGAGACTTAAATTTTAAAATAACATTAATATTCATTACAAGACAAAATCATTTTTTTAAATTTATAATGTGAAGAATTGTTATTAAAGTTAAGAATTGTTATTCTTGATGTACAGCACTTTGTTTCAGCTGTGGTTGTTTTTAAGGTGCTTAAGAAATAAAGCTTGATTGGATTTGACTGGAATCGTAAAATGTCCCTTTTAGGAGGTAGTTCAGACATCGACAGTGACGATATGTTGTTGAATGTTTGCCAGTGTTGCCAAGTCCGCTTATTATAAGCGACTTTGGGCTTGTTTTTCTGTAAAGTCGCTTACAAATATTGGTAGTCGCGGGTCGCGTTTTTTGTGGGCTTGTTTCTAAAGCGTAGTTGCTTATTTGGGCTTGTTCCCAGCTCCATAATAAGTTGTCAAGCAGATATTTTCCATATGTTATTTAAACGTAGCATAGTTTGTCTTGCCTGTTCCCTCTGTCCCTCCCCTTTCCCCATACACACAGGAGACAGCAGAGTTTTTTTCCCACCTGCATCCAGCTTCTAATTGGCTCTGAACCTGATGGCAACGAGTACGAGCCAATCAGAGGCAGAGCAGGGTAATGTGTTTTTTTCTGGTTAGGAAAACGTCAGTCCTGTAACTAAAAGAAAAAAGTCAGATGAGTGCATAAAAAGCAATAATAAATAAAGAATTTGTGAATTCAGGATGATATTTATTTGTGTGTGCAAATTTTAATTACCAGAGGTTTACTGTGTATATAATGTACTTGGTACATCAGTCTATATTTGATATCCCATCTGTTTTCTAATGTCAGAGATACTGGATGAAGGGAGATACCCAACTGTAGGCTTATCCAATGTTAAGAAAACGGTTACTCTTCCTGTGTCCTAAGTGGGCGTGGTTAGCTCTCCCTCCAATCAGAGCCTGTTCTCCCTCAACCCCCCCCCCCCCCCCCCCCCCCCCCCCCCCCCCCCCCCCCCCCCCCCCCCCCCCCCCCCCCCCACACACACACATATTGGGAAGATGTGTGGCTTGTGGAAAATGAACCCAATATTTACTTTAGTGACTACAGGCCGAA